TCTTAAAGAGAGCGACCTAGTCCGCGACTCAGCCAGATCGGTAACCCTGATTTTTCCTGTTCGATTTCTAACAATTTTAAGACGTTTGGTGGCTGTCGTGTGTATCGAATAGGATGCCGATTCTGGATATTATACGTGCGGACGGAAGCATACAGTCATGGAGTCAGAAAGCCATGAGAGAAATCCATGATCAATAGCTGCGAGGGGATTGAATGCAACCGTAGCTCAAGTCGCTTCGCCTATTATGGCCTCTGTTCCCTCCCTGGCCAAATTAATAGGGAAAAGAAACCTCGACTAATTGAGATGCTGACCACGTACTTCAGCAGAAACAGCAATAGAAGAATTGGAAACTATGATGCAATACCGAGAGCCAGCGGAGATTAATTAGAACGAAGCTTTTGGATTTTCCAGGCGATTTTTGAGATGCGCCCCCATTGAATTTGGTTTGCGGTGATATCGCAAGAAGAAGCGGGCGTACAACAACAAGTTCCCGGTGCCGTCGAGGGATGACGATGCTGATCAGACACGTTTCCCCCACCAAAAATATAAATACAAAAAAAAAAAAGAGAGAGAGAAAAAGAAAAAGAAAATTGGCGATCAGAATTGGAGAGAGGCAGGTTGCATTCCACCGAACAGAACCTCTCCCAAGCAACCTAGATTGCTCGAGCAATAAGCATGGGTTGACTACCAATCAATTGAGACTGACTTCACCGCCAAAGTAGAAAGGAAAAAAAATGGAGGCTGTGAATATTAATATGTCCACCAATCATATTGAGATTGAATAATTGCTTGCTAGCAGGGACATTCTCTTTCGTGTCTCGGTGGAAAGTAGGGTTAGAGCATGCAGTCCTCGAAGCATTGGAGCTCTTGCATGATGAGAAAAAGGCAGAGCAATGGAGTCATTCTCTCTTGGCCCGCGGAGCTTCTTATTGATTGGATTTCGATGATCATGCCCAAATATATGTGCTGAGCCCACTCCTTAAACAAGCTTGAAGATCATGGGCTTCGAAATCCGGCCTATTATAACTAGGATTGGGTACTTCAAGAGGAGAATTTGTAAGTGGACAGTTTTGTCCGAACTAGCATGGTGCTAGCAAAGTCCCAAGAGGCTTCTCGGAAAAGAGGTTAGAATTCATACTTTTTTTTATGAGTCATTTATTAATGACAAATTAGAATCTACCATATGCATGGAATTGAGAATCATTATGAATGCTAGAAATGAAAATCTAGAATTGATGCATGTTGACATTGAGATTTATTACCTCGATGATTAGAAATTGAATACATGCTATGAAAAGTATGATTTTGTCTAAATGTGTACGTTGAAGAGTATATGGGAATAGAATGGGTTTATTGCCCATAATAACGATATTGTAAGAAGTACTATTATTAGTACTACACGAACCACTTAGGCTGCTCTGAAACGTTAAAGTTTCAAGAATGAGAGCAGCAAGCCGAACCAGATCCATATCAAATAGAATGGTACCCTTTGTGGTAACCATAAGATTGTCATCCAATCCTCTAAGAATGACGTTATGTTTCTCTGTGAGAAACTAGGTCATAAGACACGAAAGTGTAAGAACAAGTTTAACCTAGTGTTAACTTGACTAAAGAAGAGGATTTGGTAATAATATTCACTGAGGTGATGACAGAGGTTAGCCTTAATGGTAACTCTGAAGAATGGTTGTTGGATAGGACCACTTCAAGATATGTGTGATAAACGAGCTAAGCTCAATCATACATTGACGCGTATTGAAGGAGAAAGTGTTGTTGGGCAAGACCCTCACCACTATTGTTGATGGTTCTGGAAAAGTGGAAGAGAATCCTGCCTCTAGAAAGTCATTGACTATCCTAGATGTAAGGAATGGTTAAGTAGATAAGATAAATTCTTCCAAGAGTGAAGAATTAGAATATCTTATATCGCATTCCCATACTATTATTGGATGCTTGAGAAAAATATGAATTTTCTATATCCAAGCTAAATGACCCATAAATATGTGATTAGAGAATCAGAATTAATAGATCTGATTTATGTGGGTAAACTTGATGGAAAAGACAATAAATGATTTATTGCTCTTTAGAGTGCTCTGGTTGTCTAACTAGTTATTCGAAATAGTTTGAAATGCCTAGTTGCATTATAATTGCACTGATTATTCGATATGTGACATGCATGTGGTAGCATTAGAGAATCAGTGACATGATAACTAGAAGAGCATATGAGTGTGTAAGTTACTGTAAAACACATAAGCCTATGGAAAGAAATACTCATTAGTTTGTGAAGACCATTGATGCCAATAGATTTCATTTATATTAAGAAATAGTAGGGGTGATAACCTGCCTACTATTAGAAATAATGGATAACTAGTGGGGGTGATGAATCTGAGTATGAACTCAGAAGAGACAAATGAACCATAAATCACGAAAGGATTTTGGTTATGAATTTGTTATTTACACCCTAAGAAAGAAAGATCCTACAAGTCTGCTAGAAGTTCGAACTTCCATAAAGATGCAGAATTGTGGGAGAATCCATTATTAACGAAATGGAATTATTGGAGTCTAATAAGACTTAAAATCTTGTAGAATTACCTCTTGGTTGAAAAGCCTTGGGTAATATATATCGATAGAATCGAACAAGATTTGGCATATTTGAGAATTACCTCTTGGCAATGATGCCAAGGTAATAAATGGATTCCTAAAAGAAAAACTGATACCTGACGGTTTAGTTTATGAGTATAATGATCGCCTAGTAGCGAAGGCTTTAGGTGAAGGGAAAATAAATTGTAGATTTCTTTGATATCTATTCACCAATATGTAGAATAACATCCATCACGTGGACGTTAAAATACTTTTTTTAATGGTGATTTGAATAAAGAAATCTACATTGGGACAATCTTAAAGATTGTTATTCTAGAACATGCTTCTGGAGTCTATGGTTAGACAAATCATTATATGATTTGAAATAGACTCAGAATTAGTGTCATGAATAATCAAATTCTCTCTCATGGTTTTAAAAGTGAAAGTGACAAGTGCATTTAGTACAAATTTGAGAATGACACTTGCATTATGAATGACACGTCGATCTTTGGGTACAAAGACTCGTGATGTCAATATTGAAAAACCATGATGGTTGAGAATTTTGAATGTGAAGGATCTGTTTGAAACAAATGTTATTCTTAGAGATCCTAATAACTAGGAAAATACAAGATGTACACCTGCATACATGTTTGTTGGTGCTAGTATAAATATTTAAAGAACACCTAAGACGGTGTAAGAAAGTTAGAATATACTAGCATTTACAGTCTGCGAGAGGCAGCTGATAAACATGAGACCCGATTTAGTGGGGGTACTTGGCAGGATTATTGATTGTCCTAATATGAAGCATTGAAATGCTATTGAAAGGGTCATGAGACACCTTAAACGAACAGAAAAAACCTTGGTATTTGTTATCAAAGGTTTTGCTGTATTGGTAGGGTATAATGATGCGGATTAGAATACCCTATAGAAGACTCCAAGACAACAAGAGGATGTGTTTTAAACGTCGATAGAGAAGCTATGTCTTGGAAGTCTAAGAAGTAAACGATCCTGGCTCAATCAACTAAGAAATCGGAAATGATAGAACTAGCAATGGCTAGTAAAGAGGAAAGTTGATTGGGAGGGTCACTACTAGAAATTCCCTTATGGGAAAGACCGATCCCTCCGGTAGTTGATTAATTGTGATAGCACCGCAGCTATTGCAATAGAAGGGAACCGGTTCTAGAACGAAAAGAGACGACAAAGTTGTCGTAAGCACAGTACTGTAAGAGAACTCCTAACGATAGGAGCAATGAGGGTGGATCCTGTAAGGTCCTAACAGAATCTAGCTGATCCTTTGACGAAAGGGTTATCTAGAGAGAAAGTCCAAAGTACCGCGAAGGGTATGAGACTTATGCCTACCGAACCACGGACTACAAGTGATGGTAACCCGACCCAATAGACTGGAGATCCCAAGAAATGGGTTCAATGGGTAATAACAAGTCATGAGTAGTATGCGAAAAGTTCATGCATAGTGAAGCATGAATCCCAAAGCCTTAGAGGTTGAGTTAAACTCTTAATGAGATCTATACTCTATGTGGAGTGAAGTACTTTACTTTGGGGGTACTTCTGATAGACTCACCTATGTGAATGTGGGAGTGGGGCCGCTCCCTATGGAACTTTGGAGGCACAAAGTTGCTAGAGCGTTCACTAAATCGGGATAACGTGCATGGCCATAAACGCACGGCCTATGAGAGAATATCACTCAATGAAAAGATCCGGTGTGCTACATTGTCTGAGATAGGGTTCAAGACTACGAGTCACCCTTATGAAATCGGAAGTGTAACCACTACGCTAAGGTTCAAATCTTCGCGATACCTTAGCTTATGCCCAATCTTATGGATCTGTTGATGCTCAGAGATAGTTTCAAAACTATTCAAGTGGGGGATTGTTGGGAATGAATAGCTTTGAAAGCTATATTGAATTAATTATCCCGTATTCTTTCTAGATACGAAAATAAGGATAATTAATAAAAAGAATATTATGGAGATAATTAGAATTAATTATCTTAATATAATATAATATATTTTAATTATGGAAGTAATTATCTTCCTAATTAAAATGTGGCTTATTCCCAAAGAAAGAGGGAATATTCTAGGTTTTCTGCTCCTATAAATAGCAGACCCCTAGACCCTCTAAACACACCTCAGAGAGCAGAAACACGAGATAGAGAGTGAGTTCATAGAGCTCCGGTTTTCGCACAAAACCGATGAGCAACAAAAATTAGAGTGGCTGTTTTATCCTGGAGGCGACCGGCTGATAGTCTGCCGTGCGCAACGAAGGCAGTGCCGCGAACGTCTTAAAGAGAGCGACCTAGTCCGCGACTCAGCCAGATCGGTAACCCTGATTTTTCCTGTTCGATTTCTAACAGAAACTACAGCCCCTCTGTTTCTTCTGACTTTTATTTCGCGCGTGTTTTAGGTTTGGCTTTGTTGAAGTTCAAGGAAAGCGTGGTGAGCGATCCGTTCGGCGCGCTGAAGCATTGGAAGGATGACGGTGGTAAAAGTCTCGATTACTGCTCGTGGTTCGGCGTTGAGTGCTCGGCTGGAAGCATTGTAGCCTTGTGAGTGTGCTTTTTCTTTGTTCCAGTTTTTCTCCATCTTCAATGTTCAGTTGTTTCACCGTTTCCCTTTCATTGTGCCTATTTTCCCCTTTTTGCTTTGGATCAAGCCTGGTCCTCGCTTCTCTTCGAAACGCTGTTTGGTAGTCGAGAAAATGTTGAACTTTTTTTTTTCCGGAGATGACGACCATGCAACTACTGATTGATTGTGTGGCGCCTAATAATGGGATCATAGTATTTATCACACCTTTTCTTTCTCTTTAGAGTAATCACTGCACTTGGGAGAGAAATTTTGGAATGAGGACTAAACTAATATGGTCAGTTGATTGTTATGGCGTTATTAGTGAATTTATGTGTTAATTGATCCTACTGCAAGTGAAAATATGTGTTGATGGATGAGTCCCATAACTCCAGAGATGTGAAACGGCAACAGGATTGGGTTCAACAGCGGAAATCTGTTCTCAGGAGGCACTGCTAATGATGGGATTATGTGCTTAACTGTTGTTCTTCCTCTTTCATGGTGATTTGGTTTTGATGAGTGTATGTCGACATGCAGGAACCTGAAAGATCTTTGCTTGGAAGGAACACTGGGATCTGAGCTTGGAAACCTTGTCAGCTTAAAGTCCATGTAAGTGTTTCATAACTATTTACGAGTCTTTGCTGCTTCCCTTTTAGCCCTTGGCATTACTGATTTGTGTTTTGTTGCAGTGTTTTGCGCAATAACTCATTCTCTGGCTCAATTCCGGAAGATATTGGCGAGCTGAAGGAGTTGGAGGTGCTCGATCTTGGGTTCAATAACTTCAGCGGTTCGCTTCCTTTGAACCTTGGAAGCAATCGGCCTTTGATGCTTCTGTATGTTGCTTGTGTCTGCAAAAGTTCTGCTTTGGCTTTAAGGTTTCATTGCCCATCTATGTTTGTTTTCCTTTACTGTTTTTTCATTGTTTCTTTTCTTTTTTCAGTTGATTGGATCATAATGGTGTATTTAGCATCATTTCACCTGAAATTCATCAACTGATGAAGCTCTCTGAAGTTCAAGTTGATGAAGTTGAATTACAGGATTCAGCAAAGGTTGCATCTTGCCATAATAAAAGGTACGGGGCAAGGTATGTCGCGTGGTAAATGGAATCAACTTTCATATTTGCTTTTTTTTTTTTTTTGTTGTTGTTGTAATATAGACTCCTGTCAAGAGATGATTCCTCACACGTTTTAGCTTCTGCTTTTCGTTATTAGTGGCAGGAAATATGCAGCTCACCGGAGACTGCACTTTTGCCTCCGCTCACCTCTGTAGTTCCATTTTTCCCGACTCCAAATGCAGATCCTCCATTGCCTCCATTTCCCCCTGCTACCGAGTCAAGTGAATCAATCCCACCGCCCCCAGATGCTTCTCCAAATTCTACTGAAGCTTCTCTTCCTGTACCAACTCCTCCACTATCAAGTAGCCCCAATTCAACAGTTGATAGTTCCCCTTCGAGGAGTCATACTGTTATACGAATTGCTGCAGCAATAGTGGGGGCCACATGTTTTCTTCTAGCTATCTTCGGAATATATCTCTGCAAAGTTAAAAGGGCAGCTGTCAAACCTTGGGCCACTAGACTGAGTGGGCAGCTTCAGAAAGCACTTATAACTGGTAACTCAATCCTCTTGTTGAAAACCTTGTATGCAAGTGAAAAAGTCATTGACTGATTCATTTGAAAGTAGAAAAGGTTGGAGAAAAGGAATCCCATGGGTAGTTGTTGCAGTAATCACCTAATGGAATTACTGGTCAAGCATATATTTTTAGTGATGGAAGGGAATCTTGTTGCGCTTATATCACTACTTTTGCTAGTGTAGCTGCTGCACATTTCTTACCCTACTGCCTTTGTACTGAACTGTCTACATTGGTATTTCAGGTATACCAAAGCTGAAGAGACCTGAGCTTGAATCTGCTTGCGAAGATTTTAGTAACGTTATTGGTTCTTCACCACTTGGTATTTTGTACAAAGGGACTTTGTCAAGTGGGCCTGAAATAGCAGTGGTTTCGATTGCTTCAACGTCTTCCAAAGATTGGTCTCAAAGATTGGTCTCGGAATTTGGAACTGCTATTTGCAAAGAAGGTATCTGTCAAATCCTAATTCGATCATGCATAAATTCTTCTACTTGTTCATTCCCTCATCTTTCCGCCTATATGTTTCAGATTGAGACATTATCAAAAATCAATCACAAGAATTTTGTCAATCTTCTGGGATACTGTGTGGAAGAGGAACCTTTCACGAGAATGATGGTTTTTGAATATGCTCCAAATGGATCGCTCTTCGAACATTTGCATAGTAAGCAGCCACTTTAGCCAAAAGAAACACACCCTTAATGCTTTGGATGGTGTGCTTAACTGCTTTTTGTTGGTCTTGCCAGTTAAAGAATCGGAACACCTGGACTGGGCAATGCGGCTCAGAATCATGATGGGCATAGCTTACTGCCTCGAGCACATGCACCAGCTCACCCCACCGATCACCCAAAAAAACCTCACCTCTTCATCCATCTCCCTCACCGAAGACTATGCTGCCAAAATCTCGGATTTCAGTTTCTCAAATGACATAACCATTCCACCTTCTTCATCCGAGATAGAACCGTCCAAGACTGAGACAGAGCTGTCAGCTAATATCCCATTCCGGGCGAGCAATGTGTACAGCTTTGGCGTGTTGTTGTTCGAACTCATCACGGGCAGGCTTCCTTACTCGGTCGACAATGGATCACTAGAAAACTGGGCAGCAGACTACTTGTCAGGGGACCAACCCCTTCGCCAGATTGTGGACCCCACGCTCGACTCTTTCGAGGAGCAGAAGCTAGCATCCATCGAACAAGTGATCAAGATTTGTGTTCACCCTCATCCACTACAAAGACCGACAATGGCAGAAGTCACTCCTATGCTGAGAGAGGTTATCAGAATAACTAACGAAGCAGCAACCCCGAGACTCTCTCCTCTCTGGTGGGCAGAGCTCGAGATTTTGTCTGCCGACGGGAGTTGATGCAAGTAAGTTCTAAAGCCGTCATTTTTTAAGAAAAGGTACGAATGAATGGATCATATGGGTAGGGAGGAAGGCAAGGGAAAGTTGGGGGTTGTGGTTGTGTGTCTCTGTGTACCTATTGTAATCTAGTGTTGTGCTTAGATGAGAGGAGGAAGACCGGAGCTGCCTGCTTGCTTGCTTGTGTATATAGTATAGAGAGCCAAAAATGGTAGCTGGATAAATGCTTTTGGCATCATCTCGTTGCTCTCTGTGTTTATTGATTCTATAAATCCTCCTCAAAAGTCTCAGATGTAGGTTGTAGTGGCCATGCACACCCATCACCAACTCAAGCTTCTCTCTTGTTTACATTCCTGGTTATTGAGCATTTTTTGTGCTCTTCACGTTGTGTCCTTCATTGGACCTATATGGGGAGAAGGGTGAATTTGAACAGAGCCTTACCTCCAAATATGTCGAACGCTTAAACCACTTGAATTTACGACCTTGTTACCCGTAACCCGTCATTCGCGGACTCTGATTGCGTGTATTCATTTTTGGTTAAGAACATATGCTTTTCAATGTCTTTTCTGCACTTGTTAGACATTGTTTTCTTATTTCTGAAGAAGTTATGAGGTTTTATTTTACGCTAAATGGGAAAGGATTAGGAAAACAAATGTATGCAACACCATTCTACGGCCGTTACTTAGGTCAATAGAGGCTACATAAATATTATGTTATGAACATTACATCATATCCACATTGTATATTATTACATGTTAAAAAGAAAAAATCGAAAGAATCCTAATACTACTTGTATCAATTTCTAATCATGCATCGTGACTCATACGACTGTCCAATTCAAAATATAACTTATTAAACTAAATGTAGCCGGATACGAAATGAAAAAGAAAAATTTGTGGAGTTATGATGGAAACCTGGATCTAAAGCGTTCATAATGGGAATTCAGAGATTCAATGATAGAGAACTGGGAATTGGAGATCGAAGAACAATAATGGGGAATAACAAAAAGAATGGCTGCGGCTGAAACTAGGAAAGAGAGACCAAATTTCAGAGGATAAAGAGATTAGGATTTTGAAGAAACGTTTTTGAAATATTATAAATAACCTAATACTACTTGGATACCATTAAACCTAATAATTAATCCAAATAGTGAATATAATAGTTATTATTAATGAAAGACCCTATTGCCCCTCATTTACCTAGTTTCAGTCAAGTTAAGACTGAATCCAAGTAGCACCAAATCATTGCAACTTCCTAGGGTTTTTTTTCCAAAGTACTTTAGTTCTTAATTTTTTTTTCAAAACACAATAGTTCTTACTAAATTTTTCAATCTATACATGTTTTACGGTGATCGCTTAGGTTGAAAGCCTTAAAGCAATATGCATGAAAAGCTCTCAACAACAAAGGGATTAATAATTGTTCGCTGGAAGGACAAGCAATCTGTGAGGATCACTTGGAGGTGGGCTAAGATCAGGTGATTATAGGGGTCCCTTAGTCATATGACTAAACCAATATCAACCATTGAAACTCATTAAAATCTAATGGTTCATATTTATCTATTTTAATGAAGGGTAAGGTGGTGATTACCTTATTTATTTATTTAACAATAAAAAAACAGAACAGCGTTGCCCCTACGCCCTCCCCCGTCCTCGGCCGCCATTCCTGGGAATTAATCCCCCGACAGTGGAATTTTGTGTCCCAAGATTTTGTGTCCCCAACAGCTACCCCACACAGAGAGAGAGAGTTTCTGCTGGCCGGAGGAGACTTTCCGGCGACCAGCGACTGGCCAACGGCGAAGAAGAATTTTCCAGCGACAATGTTGGATTTGTGATTTTTGGTGACATATTTTGTTATATTTGTGGGTCTGGTTTGTAATGTTTGTATCAATTGGGTTTGTACGCTTGTAATAATTGTCGGTTTATTTTGTAATGTTTGTACGCTTTGTTATTTTGTAATGTTTGTCGGGTTCATTCTTTTGTAATGTTTGTAAGCTTTGTTATTTTTGTGCACCATGTTTATCATTTTTGTCAACCATGTTTTTAATATTTTTTATGTCTAAAAAACAATCTGGTTGACTTTTGGATGAAACTCCTTTATATAGGGACGGAGCCTCCAAAGTCAACCCGGGTGTTTTTTTCCAGTTTGTATAGATTGTCGGTCTAGTTTGTCATTTTTGTCCACCATGTTCGTAATGTTTGTATGTCTAAAAAACAACCGGGTTGACTTTGGGATGGAGCCCTCTATATAGGGATGGAGCCAACAAAGTCAACCCGGTTGTTTCTTCTTTTTTGTATGGTTTGTATTGTTTGTCGGCAGGGATGGAAATGGGTCGGGTTGGGGTGGGTTTTGTCAAACCCAAACCCAAACCCATGGGTTTATCCGCCAAAAAACCAGGGGTAAAACCCGTTGGTTTGATAAACTCAAACCCAACCCAACCCGCTGGGTATCCGCGGGTTCATGGGTACCCGTGGGTTTTGGTGGTAAAAAATTTACAATAACAAGTTTCTTTCAAAACAAAAGTTTAACATAAATTTTCTCATACAAATTAATCATACAAAAAACACCAATCTTAAGCATACAAGCAAGCTGCAAATGATCAATACAAATTGTTCAAAATTAAAGATAAACATCTATAAACAATAAGATTAATTGAAAGCTTCTTCCTCGTCAACTAAGTTTCTGCACTCTCCACTTCATAATATCAACTTCATTCTAAACAATTAGAAAGAACAAATTATACATGTCTCCACAAACATAAAGAATATTAGTAGTTTAAGGAAGATATATTATTTAGAATATTAAATATACCCGGGAAAGTAATTATATGTGTGAGCGGGTACCCATGGGGCGGGTATACCTAAACCCAAACCCGACCCGGTAAATAGTGTAGCGGGTTTAAACCCGAACCCGACCCAAACCCGTCAACACGGGTTTTACCCGCGTAGACCGGGTTGGGTCGGGTGGGTACCCGTGGGTTCGGGTTTTGTTGTCATCCCTATGGATAATGCTCAAAAGACCATCCATCATTAACAACCAGGGAACCCTTCAGTTTCACCTATTTTGTTATAGTTTGATGAATGGAAAACTTATGTGATTATCGATGTTGATGTGAATTGAATCGGACTATCAGCCGCTCCGACCAGAAGTCATGAGAGTTTCGTTGTGTGTTGGTTCAATATTATTTAGATTCGTATTCTCGGTCTAGTCTGTAACTGCTTTTCCTTTACTAGATTGGATTAGGGTTAGAATAGGAAAAGTACTATAAATACTTCTTATACTCCTCTGTAATCTGTATCTCCTCAAAGTATAGTGAAACTGGTTCTCTCCTGCCCGTGAACTAGCTAACACACATTGTGTTAGTGAACTACATAAATTGTGTGTCGTGTGTGCGCTTTCGTTTTCTTGCAATGTCGAATCCTCCAATTTTCTGATCCGCAGAGCAACAGTCGTGACAATAGAAAAGTCAAAGGTTAAAATCTCAACCAATGTTATGATCTTATACTATATTTATTTGATCTATACATGTATTTATATATGTCGCATTTAACTATTTATTACAATAAATGAAGTTAAAATACATAGAAATCAAATGAACTCTCAATATTTTTCTTTTTATATTCTTCTCTCAAACCAAAATGGGTATCACGACCCACCCATTTACATGTAGCTTCCGGGCCTGGACCAAGTCTAACCCTAATCCAAAATGAATACGTTTCCAATTAATTGAGTAATTCTTAACTCCAATTTTGGTTGGACGCTGATAGACTGTTAATTACACATGTTTTTACCCCTATTCTTACACCGTTTGAGATGTGGATTCTCGTGTTTTAGGCCGATTTCACGCTAGGTTGTTCTTGTTTGTGATATTTCAGGTCCTAGTACGTGAATGAAGGCTTGTGAGCGAGTTTGGGGTCGATTGGACGAAGATCGGACGCGTGGCTAGGCGCTGAGGAAGCCACATGGGCATTCCTGGAACCCACACGGCCGTGCAAGTCACCCTTGTGGCCTTGTGGTTTGTGCCGAGAGCAAACACGGGCAGGGTGGAATTTCCACACGGCCGTGTGACCCTGGCCGTGTGGGAAGCCTGAAGTTCGATTAATTGAGACGCAGCATTTTGGAAGCCACACGGGCAACTGGGTAAGCCACACGGCCGTGTGGCCTGCCCGTGTGAGTCGGGAAATCTTGGTTTTTACCCAATTCCGAGCCACAAGTGAGAGAATCGACTTTTCGGAGCATAAACAGAGCCCTAGAGAGAGAAAGTGCGAAGAACACATCCTAAGAGTGGTTTTGGAGTTGGGTTTCATCAAATCAAGTTTGGAGATCATCATAGGAGTGATAATCATCATCCCAGAGCAGATTCTTCCCATTGTTATGAGTATGACTGCTTTGTATCCTGTTTTCCCCTCTCTCTCTATGGAGTAGAACTTTCTCTCACTTGGGTAAGAAGAACCCTAGTTCCATGTGTTAGGGATTTTGATTGTAATGACTTGGGATTGTTATACTGCTTGATTATAATCGAATGATGCATGATTCATTGAATTGATTGAAGTCTGATCAGCTTTTCTTGATTTCTGCTGCAACCTGAGATAGATAGAATCTGATTAGGTTGTTAGAGCAACATCATTCGGTAGTAGTGGATTGGCTATACGAGAGTTAGTCAATCTACTGCTTTGTACTGGAATCCAATTCCAGTAGTGGAGTTCTGTGTTTATAGCCTCAACTTTCTATCCCGGTGAAGACTAGTCGTCTGCCGGGTAGTTTGACTGAGAGGGCTTGGCCAGCTTAAGAGATTCCAAGCTACTGTCGGATCTTCCGCAGTTTAATCAACAGTAGATCAACCCAGGGTAATTCCCGAGTGACTCTTCCTTGACTTCAGAAAACCGAACCATTTCCTGCTTTTTACTGCTTTTACTTTAAACAGCAATCACTCGACTTAGTTGGCTAGATAATAGATAATCACGGAGTAAGCAGTAGATCTAGACCCCGGGTTGATAATAGAACTT